GTGAGTTTTTTCAAATTGTCACAAATTTCTGAAAGCTTTTCCAATATATTAATTGAAAAAATTTCTCACATAAGTGGACATGTGCAGTTCAAACCTGAGTTGTTTAAGGGTTAACTGTACTAATTGGTCACAGAATGGGGGCTAAAAATGTAAATGATTGTTTGGTCTTGAAAATCTTTAAGTCTGCTTCCTTTATTATTATTTTTTAATGTTATCATAGTTGCTTTTAGTCCCGCCCTGGCCCTTTGGAAAATGATCCTTCTCCTGAAATAGCCTGAAAGCCTCTATAGTTTAAAGCAACCTAACATGATGCTGTAAACAGAGACTTAATGAACAGGGGAAACAGCACCACAAGTCTGACATATGCCCGCTGAACACAAGAAACTCAAAATTGTGCAATACTCAAAAAGTCCTTCAAGGTTCTGGAAATTCTCCAGCTTCTTCCCTGAGTTCCTGACCTCTACCCCAGCCTGGCGACTTGGCATCCTCAGCTGTGTGTTTGGTGTACTCAACAACCAGAAACCTCCTGCACATACCTGATCCTCTGGGGGAAGCCTTTCAGTGGGTTTCTTACCAGCTTGCTCACCATGCAGCTGAGGGTGGGTCTTGTGGGGACATGAGAAAATGTCCACCACCTCCAGGAGCAAAAGGAGCCCAAATCTAGTTTCTTTTCTCTGAGCTTCTTCCCTGGGAGAGGATGTTCCTTTATGCAGATTAAAGAGCACAAGAAACAAAGAAAGCCACAATACTGAACTTAATTTCAAGTACCACTCCTTTCCTAAAAATGGTTAACTGGTAGCTACATGGTCTCATTCTTGTTGCTAATAAACAGTAAAGGCGCCAAGAAACTGAAGCAGCACAGGGGAGAAAAGGAAGAAACCAAGGGTTTAGATCATTTGTGAAAATGGATATTCAGTCTTTGAATAATTAAAGATATCCAATCTGTAGAATGTTAAAGAAATCCCTAATCTACATTTATGTTAGAACATATCATTACTAATCCAGGACATTAAAATTTTATCATAATAGTTATGGACAGTTCTGCCAAAGAATCTCACTCATTGGCTATCAAAATAAGGGAAATGCTGAATTATAGAATACCATACTTTGAATATTTAATAAATTAATCCTCTGTGCTGATAGTAGGAGTTCTAGAAATCATGCCTGTTGCATGACAGCACTTAGTCAATATACTAATTAATAACAGTTGTTTGAGAGCAAGTCAATGCCTAATAGGTTAACAACACAAATTAGAAGTACAGAGAAATCATACTCAAGGTTAAATTCATTCTAAAAAAGACCACTGGTAGTTATGAATACTTAAAGGAAAGGAAAGAAGATTGGAGCTTTTGTCAGAGTTGACTCTTTTGAGAGTTCCTGGGTCATTAAACAGGAGCTTATTCATATAAATTTTGGCCCTGATATCTGGATCTTTCATATTTTTCACATAACTGAATTGTACCAGATTCTCTTGGGTGCTCAACAACAGATTCTGACTCTGAAATCCATACCATTTCTCAAAGGGGGAAGAAGAGGGGGAGGCAATAGGGAGAGAGGGAAGGAGGAGAGAAAGAAGGGGAGGGAAGAAGAGGAGGAGTAGGGCATGGAAAAGAAAGGGATAAAGGGAGGAAATGTGGGAAAAGGAAGAAGGGGGAGGGAGGAGGAAAAGATGGAAGTGGGGCCATGGAGGGATTGAGGAAGACCAGAAATCTCATTCATTTTGACGTAGGAGGTGGACTCCAACTTTTTTGTATAAAATATTTTCAAGTGAACCCCTAGATATACATATAGTGGGTGATGGGAGCTCCCTATTTCTAGAGAATTTAAAAAATACTATGTAATCAATCTTTGATTAGGACATAAATACTTAATTTTAAACTTCTAAGTATTATATAATTTAAATACAAGTTTTTTGTAGATTTAAACGATTCAACATGGAGATAGTACAAGTTAATTTTCTTACAGAATTAGATTTTTGTTTTCTCAGCATAATTGCATGACATTTGGTAGAAGAAAGTTTGATGCTGGGGGGAAAACATGCTGATAGTGACTTTGGAAGCTTCTGGGCAGGTGCTTTCCTGGAATCGAGCAGATGATTGTTAAGACAGGAAGAGAAAGGAGATGCTGAAGAGGTTTGCCCCTGTGACCATTTACATCTGGCTGGTTTACATGTTTTAGGTTTGCTGTTCTGGTCAGGTCTTCTTGGCAACTTATTAAATAATCTGATAAAACTGATAAATATATTAGAGTAGGCTAATGATGGGGATTCTCACTTCCTGAGTTGGTCTGCCTGCACTTTCCTACAGAAAAGTCCTGTTTCAGCCACCTGAACTATAATTTTCTTGTCCCAAGGATATTATGGTGAAAAGATATTAATCTACGTAGAAGGCATTGCTTTAACCCCTACACTTCATTGGTTTGATGAAGTTTGAGGAAAACAGGAATAACTCAAGTGTGTTGAGGATCAGTGATTTCACATTTAAAAAGCATAAAGCTTATTAATGGTCTTGAAGAGAAAAGATTCCATATGAATACAAAACCATCATTATCACTGGTAACATATCCAAATATCTTGCCAACATTTTTCTGATTCAGACTGTTAAATTTCATATTAAAATATAATAAAAAGATATTCATTTAAAAAACCTTGTAAACAGACAAAGCTTGAAAAACAGAAACTATACTTAGGAAACTCCACACAAACAAGCACATTTTAGGGTACTTTCCCCAAGTGATAAGGACAGAGTTAGGATGTACCAATAGCAGGAGTAGTTGAAATTTAATTGAGGGCTAAGCATCCATTAGGCACTGTTCCACCTGCTTTCACTATATTATCTTATGTAATTCTCACAAAACCCTTCTGTTCTCTTCCTATTTCATCGATAAGGAATCAGCAAAGCAAAAATTCCACAGAATGTACTGGTGTATACAAAGAGAACGGAAAGAATCTGAGAGTCTATCTCATATATCCCAAAACAAGGATGTTGAAAAGTGTTTAGTAGACACAGAAGACAATACAGCTGGTAAAGTTGGGATAAAGGGAAAGAGTATAACAAAAAAAGCATATTTATTAGACTAAACTAGGTTGTCAACTTGATTTAAGGAACTCTGAAATAATAAGCTACATTTGTTTTGTTTTCTTAACTTATTGCTACTTAGTGTGCTGAAATGCTTTTAAATCTCTGTAGTACCTGTCCGCGTACCTCAGAAAGGGCTTGGCTCTGGGCAGCCTCTGTCTCTTGAGTCAAACTGGCTGCAGAAATCTGACATCTTGGTCACAAATATATTATGTTGCCATCACTTTAAGCATAAGCAAAGTAAATACACTTTAAGCATAAGTAAAATAAAATTTCAAAAAACAGATAGTAATAATGATAATATTTTTGGAGTAACAGCAATATGTTTTGCTTTATTGGGCAGAATTGACCTTAGCATGGATCTTATTTAGCTTTTTAAAGTTAATTTCTATTTTTCTTTTTCATTTCTTCAAGAAGAAAAGGGCTAAAATAGGCTCAGTACTTTACTAGCACTTCGCTGGTGACAGTGGACTATTTAACTGGTTTTAAATAACATGGCTTAACTGTGGCTGTCAGTAAAATAGGGGCCTTATCATACCACAGGCGCCCACACTGGGTACCACAGGCGACAGAGAAGCACTTAGTTGTGTGTAATCAAATTTGTGAAAACTGATCCGGAAGAGCACTTCATTATTTACAGGAGTGCTGTAATAAATCTTTTGCAAACTATAGAATCCATTTGTAATGTGAAATGTCTCTTAATTTGTGTTCTTAAGTTTGAATTTTTGTGTAGATGTGGTCTTCATAAAGTAGGACACCTCTGGAATATATGGAAGCCCAGGTAAATCTAAAGTACTCAAATGTAATATTCATTCATTTGTTCATCCATATTCTGAAATGATGCATTGTACTAGGCATCATGCCAGGCCAGAGAGATGGCCATGATGAAGTCCACTAATGCCTTTATGGTGCTCAACTCAGCTGGGGAGGAGAATTCTCATGCCTTAAATATTCCTCTCTTGGAAAGTCAAAGATGAAATAAGCACCTTCCTCCTACAAAACAGCTATCCAATCATTTCTTGAAAGCAATGCCATAGGTAATCTTTTTGAAATCTCCTTGTCACATATTAAACAACACAATAATGTGATGAATTTGTGTTGTCATAAAATATCAAGTGTGAAAATGAGAACTGCAGGTCTCAGGGAGCTGAATGCCCTAGAGCCCTGCGCTGTAGCTAGAGGTTGGGTCTTTCAGCGTTTCAGCCTGAAGGGACCTCAGATTCTTGTGTTCACCCTGCCCCCTCCTCGGTCCCATCCCCTACTTTGTTTTTTCAGAAGAAGAAACTCGTGCTCATAAAGGTTGAGAAAGTAGCTGAAACCAGAATCAGTCAGGGCTTTTTCATCCCCAGACTTTTTAGCTGATTTGCTGAATGATTCTGCTCCTCCTCAGAAAATCTATATAAATGACATATTTTAGGGCTTGAGGGGTGTTCTCTTGCTCCCTTTTGGTTAAACTTACATGCTTGTAAGTAGAAGGTGTGGTGGCAACAGATGATGGATGGTAAAAAGAACTTCTGCAAGGACAGCCAGAGCAGACCTGCTCTGGGCTCATGTCTCCTTAACCCTTACCTGACCCGGCGGTCCCCCTTAACTCCGCCGGCCACTCTCAGGATTAGGCTGGTGGTAGGGTGAAACTACAGATCCCAGGAGGCCGAGGACGTCCCTCCCAACCTCTCCGTAAGCGGGTCGCTCCCCTCGTTGCATTCTGGGAAATGTAGTTTCTTTCTAATCAGTAACTACTGTGCTTGGAAAGCGGAGTTATTAGATTTGAGGGATCCGCCCCTCCACTGGCCCCGCCCCCTCCATTGACCCCGCCCCAGGTTGCTCAGGAGATCAGAGACGCCGAATCCTGGTCGGTGTTACCGTGGGGAGCAGAATAGGTGCAGAAAGAAATCCTCCGAGGTCTGAATGTGGCCCGCCTCAATGGACAGTTCTGGCAGCTCCTGTCAGGACTGGTGCAGCAGTAGGCAATACTGGTTTGAGCTCGGACCCACGGACTTGCTGGAGCGCAAGGGCTCCCTCACCCTCCGCTCCCATCACAAGAAGTACTCGAAACCCGTGTTGGTGTATTCTTGGTGAGCGAGCTCGCTGCAGTTCCCGGCTGCTGGGGGAAGGGATGGGGGAGGAGAGAAAGTAATAGAGAGAGGGCAAGGGTGGAGAGGATGGAATAAATAGCGAAGAGAAAGAAAAAAGAAGAAGGGAAGAGCAGAGAAAGGGAAAAGGAAGAGGTGAGAAAGAGAAAGATGAGACAAGTGAGAGGACTGGGAGATGAGACAAGGGAGAAAAAAGAAAGGGAAGAAAGATCTTCAAAGGAGAGGTAAAGAGGGTGGGAGTGAGAATTGGGGCAGCGCAGGAAGAGATAGGAAAGCCTCCAAGAGCCCTGCCCTGCCACTGAGACCTGCCCTGCAGGTCCCTGTCCACCAGAGGTTATAGATCACCCTCACCGATGATGGAGGAGAGGGTGTTTGCAGAGGCCTAGAAATCACATTTCTGAGATAACAGTACTTACTCATGAAAGGAAGGGTCCATTAGGGGAGAGCAGGAGGGAGATGAGTTGTCTAAGCCCTCCTTGATCCCATTTATTCATGTAATGTATGGGAACCCTGCAGTTTCTGCCTTGCAAACTTTCTACAGCCTCTCCACTTTCCTACAAGCCCACTCCCCTACTGTTAGTTCTCATCCCTAAAACTGACTCTCTGCCTATTTTGAACTGAGTGTGAGAGGCTAGATAGATTTGGAATCCAAAGCTCTACTGGGAAGTAGAAAATCCTCTTTTAGCCTCATATAGGGGTTACCTCATAGACCTCAAGCAAAACACTTAGCTCTTCCATGATTTTGTTACTCTATAAAGATGTAGGTCATAATATAAATCACTATTAGAAATTAGTGTTAAAGACAAAGAACTTTTTCAAGTGGACAGTGTTTCTGCTCTCTTCTGCCCTACCATGACTTGTGGACATCGTAGACATCAATAGCAAAACCACCGAAGAACATACATGAAAAGGAGATGAGGAATTTGGTGGGGGAGAAATGTGATCTAACACGGAAAGTCATTCTGGTCACTGCTGAGAATGTAGAGAGTTCTTATGCTGTTAGTTTTAGAAAGAACGTTTGGGAACAGGAGGAAATTCAACAAGCATTCATGTGTCATGCACTTTGCTATGTGTTGGAGACACAGAGACAGATAAAGTGGATTCAATGAGTTAATTTGTCTAAAGCATTTAACACCATGCTTGTACATAGTAAGCAGTCAAAAACATATGGTAGCTAATACTAATTTTTTAGGATAATGATTACACATTTGGACTCTAGGTTTGAATATCAACTCTGCAGCATGTGATATGGCAAGTCACATGAATGCTCTAGGCCTCTGTTTCTACAACTGTAAATTGGGGATGATAGGATTTTTGTAAGATTAAACATGGTATTGTTTGTGAAGCACATTTTAACATGTAGCCTGGCACATAGTAAGCACAGTAAAGGTTATATACGTGTATTAGGACATGGTCATGGACCTCAAGGAATTTTGTAGACCTGTAAAGGAGAATGCCATTAAATTCAGTATAATCTGATTTGTGCAAAATAGAGATGAGTATAAGAGGTAAAGGTAACAGGAAGAGGTTTGTGTGTGTGTAGTTTCCTGAGCAGGGTTTAGAAGGAAGAATAGGAGCTCCATAGATACACAAAAGAGAACATTGCACTCACAGGCAAGTGCAATGGAATAGTAAGAAGCAACCTCGTAGGGAAATAAAAATAGTTCTCTATAGTCCGCAAGTACAGTTGATCCTCATTATTTGCAGATTCTGTATTTGTGAATTTGCCTACTTGCTAAAATGTATTTATAACCCCAAATCAATACTCAAGGCAGTTTCGTGGTCATTTATGGACATGTGCAGAGAGGCAAAATTTTTTAGTCACTCTCCCATTTTTAGATCAAAGTGACACTTTGCCTTCTTGTTTCAGCTCTCATACTGTAAACAAGTATGGTTTTTTTCATGATCTATTTAGCATTTTTGTACTTTTTGTTGCTGATTTCATTGTTGATATAGCCACCTACTGCTGGAGTGCTATCTAGTGATATGTGCAAGAAGGCTGTGATGTGCCTTGTGGAGAAAATAGATGTCACACAGGCTTCATTCAGTCATGAGTTACAGTGCTGTGAGTTCAATGTGAATGAATCAGCAGAAGATATCAAATAAGGTATATTTAAACAGAAACATACGTAAAACCAGGTTATATATTGATTGGTTGATGAAAATGTGAGCAGAGGCTCACAGGAACCTACTCCTTTATTTCCCCTAGGAGCAATGGTTCAGTATTTGCTAATTATTTGTGACAAATTTATAGAATATAACCACCTAAATAATGAGAACTTATCATAAAATGTGAGAAATACTTGATTTCTTTGAGCTGACTATGCAGTTGTCATCCTTGCTTCCCTTCCATATCTAAGAAGTCACCAAAATCTGTCTTAAAAAAAAACCAAAACTATATAAAGTTCAAATTATATAAACTTCCAAATGAATGATCTGATCAACTATTTTGTTTTTATGCATTCTGGTCATAATTGTTTGTTTTCTATTGACTTATTATATATATATTGAAACTCTTATTAAATTTTAATCTTTTATGAGTGATTTTTATTTAATTGATGAATACTATCTATGATATAGCATTCAAGTGGCCTCTGGGCTGAGTATTTGATCAGTTAAATGACTGTACCTCTAGGTTTGCAAAGTAGAATCTGTAACTGGGAAAGATTCTTATTTACCTCTGCTTATAGAGTTTAAGCATTTGCATGATTTCTGTGTTTCTCTTTATGTTGCATGTAATACAAGTCTGTCCGACTTCACTTCACATATTAAAAACGGTTGTATATAACAGACCTGATAAAGTGATATGCACAGAATGGTTGTTAAAAGAATCTCTGGTGCATTACTGGAATAAGGCATTGCCTAGGCACTGTCTCTTCCTTACAGCTATGATGGACAGGGCCATTTCACCTGCATCACACTGATGCTTCTGAATGAGAGAGGCCTTTTCTAGAAATTATTTTTCTCTATTCATTCCTGTAGCATTTGTGGAGTTGTATCATTAGATGATTCCATGAGAAATTCTGAGTTGGGGGAAATTTTCTCTCGGGGTATCTTCACATTCATTGGAATAATGGAATTCTAAGAACCAGAACAACTAGATTTGCCCTTAATAAATTCTCTGATGTGAGGCTACTTCTTATATTTTTATATATGTATTTTAACTCATCTCTTCATTGCCCAAATCGACATCAGGTAATAAGTGATGATAATTTAAAGCCCAAAAATTCATTCGAGTCTCCATGGAGACAGTTCATGCTCTGGTCTCCATGGTGACACCTAGAGTTTTAAGAGCTCAGGTTAATTTTATGTATATTTCAATTACTTTTCTCCCCGTCTAAGCCCTAATTAAAGAGCCTGTGCATTTTACTCTTCCCTTCCTCACCCCCCCACCTCCCTATAATAAGAAGAAAACAGAAAGAGAAAGGGAAAAAAAGGAAGAAAAATAAAATTCAGTGTTCATTGTGGGGTAGGGAAGTTCATAGTTTTACAGATTTCTACAGAAAAATCATTTGGGTTGGGGAAAGAAATTAAAGAGCTTTCTGTGATGCTCTTCAGACTTACACTCTATTGTGCTGTCTGAACAGGGAGTTCATGTCTATTTAAGGTACTGCACAGAGAATCCGCTTTCAAGGCCACAAGGTACCATTAGCGTACTTGCAAAGAAAATAGAGATGCATTTTCTAATTTGCTGTATCATTCTTCCTGTATTTATTCAGCGACTTTCTCAGGGACTAACCTGGCAATATTTGGAGTCCTTCACATGATTCAGGGCCATGGTAGGGTGACCCAGCCCTTCTCTAGCCAGCATCCTTCTCCTCACATCTCCAGTACACACTCACAAAATGGGATGAAAAGGCAAATCCGAAAGCCTTTAGTAACCACATGGTGCAGCCTGCCTCTTTTTTGAAATCCGTAAATGCTTCCCCTTCCACCAAGCCTCCATCCTCCTACCTTTAACAGCTCAGGTCCTCAACCGAAAGATTATTAACTCCTATTTTATGTATATTTTAAAGAAGTTTGCTTATGTGGTTTCCATGCACACAGCATAGACTTTGGAGAGAAGAGAGAAGAGCCTTTAAAGAGGGTTTTTGGTCAATAATGAGAAGTGAAAAGAGCAAGCCTCAGGGCAAAGGGTAAGAACATAGTGGGTGCTCAATTAACATTCATCAAGGAAATGAACAAATGAGCAGATAGAATGAACACACACAGAAACCCAAAAGGCACTGGGTTGGGACCCTCTATTTTATACTTTAGAAAGGCCCAGAGGTAAAAGTCTATAGGACAGCATAAATTCATAATAAAACGAGAATCGATTTCTCATAGCCTGATCTTGATATAACAGGACGATACTGAAGCCTGTTTGCTCACCTCTGTATAAGTGAACTTAGAGTATAATGTGCTCTTCTTCTGATTTGAATGGTGAAGAATTTAAAATTGGGAGCTAAACTTGTGCTCTTCCTACTTGCGGTGCATAACTTATCAGGGACTGACAGATACTAAGAAGATTTTGAGTTTATATAGGGACAAATGAGTTTATACTTTAAAGAGATATTTTGATTTCTTAACTTGTGCTTAAAAAAACAATTCTAAATTATAATATCTTGTGACCATTTGAGATGATGTAATAGTAGACCAGTGACATGCAAATATATTCACTATCAAGTGGGTAGCAGAATTAGAAATTTGCACACAACTCAGATGCATATATAAAATTTATTTTCTAAAATTGATCCTCATGGCTTTCATTGTTAGTAGGAAAAACTTCAAACTTGCCAACTATAGGGTATCTGTCTCTTCAAGTTTAAACAGCTTGTTTTAATTTAAAATAGTCTCTCAAAATGGTGCCCATTATTTCTGAGTCCTTCATCCTCCACACTCTCCTTTCCCCAGTGGCATCTGTGTGTGTGTGTGTGTGTGTGTGTGACTGACGTTGTATGTTATTTTGGCGGTGGGGAGTGAGGCCCCCAGATTATGTGTGG